CCATTGTCAATTAGGCAATAATGATAATAACAAGGATGACATTTATTGACTGTATGTGATCTCATCTTACCTCTCAAAAACACTATTTATGAGCCCTGTCTTACAAGATGAGGAAACTGAGCTACAGAGAATTACACAAGTTGCCCAAGGTCACACAGCTAGTAAGTGGATAACCAAAGTTTGTGCACTTAACCTCTATGCTCTATGCTTCTTTGGAGAGAGGAGCAACTGTGATGTTTCTCTTTCATACATCTCCTTGAAACCAGTCTACTCACGGCAGACTTGGCTTATGACAAAAATCTCTTAGGTCTTTTGTTTCCAAAACAAAAATGATAGCGTTCAAAGGTAGAGTAGCATCAGCAAAATGGTTTTCTGCAGTTTGTTATCTGGAACCTTGTCTTTATGTCTTGAGAACATCATTCTCCAGTCTATCTGCAAATGACCAAAAATGTTGGAATTCCCAGTAGTTTTCAGGGTAGAACCTCAAACGAGACATTAAAAATCAGCAACATGGCTGGGCGAGGTGACTCACACCTGTAATCCCAGCACTTTGGGAGGCCGAGGCGGGCGGATCACCTGAGGAGGTCAGGAGTTTGAGACCAGCCTGTCCAGCGTGGCGAAACCCTGTCTCTACTGAAAATACAAAAATTAGCTGGGCGTGGTGGCAGGTGCCTGTAATCCCAGCTACTCGGGAGGCTGAGGCAGGAAATCACTTGAACCCGGGAGGTGGAGGTTGCAGTGAGCCGGTATTGTGCCACTGCACTCAAGCTTGGGCAACACAGCAAGACTCCATCTCAGCAAACAAACAAAAAAAATCAGTAACATGTAACATACCAGTGCTCTAATTCATTGCTGCTGAGTCCTCTTTGAAGCCAAATAAACCTTCCATATTCACATTCCAGAAATGTCCCTGCCTCCTACTCCCATGCTTTGTCTGGAAAAATCCTTCATATCCTTCAAGGCCCAGCTCAAATGTCACCTCCTTTACGAAGTGGTTCCCAGTCCCACAGGCAGAATTAATTGATCTTCCTTTATGCTCCCACAGCACTTTATATTAGCGTTGGTGGTATAGCTCTTACCACATTGTTTAAGTTAATTGCATAAGTAAGCTCCTTGAGGTCAGAGACTTGTCTTATTCATAAACCCTTTGATTCCCATATTCCCAGCCTAGCACATACCTTATTTCATCAAATCGAAAACTCCATCAATTGTAAGACACACCATTATTTCATGAATTACTAAGAGAAACAAAATACTGACAATTATTCTATGACATATCATCAATTTGAAGATGTGTCCCAAATTCAGGAAATGTCAATAAATTTTTAAAAATGTGTTTTAGAAGGAATTAACTGTGGCAATAAGTACTCACCAAATGTTTATAGAACTGAATTATTAAACCAAGGTGGAACAGATATTTCTAGAGAACTGTGACAGCCCATGCTTCTTAATAAGTAAGGGATTAGAAGTTGGTGATGAATGGTGTGTGACTGCTTTGCTGATTTCAAATATTTTACCCAACAGATTAGTTAAAGGGATGAGTGGCCTGATGTGCCATTCCTATTTAAAAATAAAATAAAATAAAATAAACACCTCCAAGGACCAAGCCTGCTGGCTCATGCATGTAATCCCACTCCTTCAGAAGGCTAAGGCAGAGGATTGCTTGAGGCCAGGAGTTTGAGGCCAGCCTGGACAACATAGTGAGACCCTGTCTCTAAAAATATAAAAAATTAGCCAGGCATGGAGGCAAGCCCCTGTAGTCTCAATTACTCAGGAGGCTGAGGTGGGGAGGATTGCTTGAACCCAGGAGTTCAAGGCCGCAGTGAGTTACTTGTGCCACTGCACTCCAGCCTGGGCAACAAGGCCAGCCCCCACCTCTAAAACAACAACAACAACAAAGACACCTCCAGATCTCCCATTTAATATACTAGAAAGTAAAGTGATGATATACTGATTCTAGTTCCTTAAACTAGTTCAACGCACTGCTGTTATCATCTGCCCATGAAGAGGAATAGTAGCTCAGCTTTCTCCCAGTTTATTCCAGCCCTGCTTTTATTTTGATGCAATCCCTTCCTAATTCCAAACTGTTGGTCTGTGACATTGGCCCTATGAAGTTTCTCCTTGGCCCTATGAAGTTAGTGATCGTATATTACTTCTCTGGTTAGTGTCTGTCTGAACCTATACTTTCCATAGGATCTTTCCATAGGGCAGGCCTTGCTGGGTCTTAGTATTTCAGGCTGTCTCATCAAGAATCTGAATTCTAGTTCCATCCTAGAAAGAAACCCCACCCCCTGCCCTAGACCTAGTCTAAGCCATACACTTAATGTCTCTCGACCTCCTTCCACCACTCTTTCCCTGCCCCCAAGCACGCATACACGCTCAGGCAAGATAAACCAAATTGTCACTGAAAACCTTAAATGTATGGTTGGTTCACAGAAATACTCCTGGAATAAAAGTTCCTCTTTGAAAATAGAATTATAGGCCAGGCATGGTGGCTCATGCCTGTAATTCCAGCACTTTGGGAGGCTGAGGTGAGTGGATCCCTTGAGCTCAGGAGTTCGAGACCAGCCTGGCCAATATGGCAAAATCCCATCTCTAAGAAAAATACAAAAAAAATTAGCTGCCTGTAATCCCAGCTACTCAGGAGGCGGAGGCACGAGAATTGCTTGAACCCATGAGGCAGAGGTTGCAGTGAGCTGAGATCATGCCACTGTACTCCAGCCTGGGCAACAGAGCAAGGCACAGTCTAAAAAAAAAAAATGAAAAAAGAAAAGAAAAGAAAATGGAATTACACTAGCCAGACGTGGTGGCATATGCCAGTAGCCCAAGTTACTGGGGAGGATCACTTGAGCCCAGGAGTTTGAGTCCAGCCTGGGCAACATAGCAAGACCCTGTCCCCCTCTCTCTAAAAATAAATAAATAAATGAATAAATAATAATAAAAAAAGAATTACACTGAAAGGATTGAGCCTAGTAGCTTAATTAATACATTATAAAATTTTTAAACATGTAAGCAGCTCTTTGCATTAGCATTCAGGGAATGAGAGTCTTTATGAGGCAAGTACAAAGGGGTAATTTTATAAGGGGGTGATGAAGAAGACAGTAAAACAGGGCAACGAGTTCCTAGTTTGCTTTCATACTTAGACCCTTGGTGGGAAGCCAGTGACCACTAAAAACCTGAAAGTCATCTCCCCCTTTGAGGCGGGCTGCCAGTGCTTGGGTTAGGTTTATCAGGACTAAGTCAGAAAGCTCCAACGATTAGCATCTTCCAATTTACGCCAATCTTCCCAGGCAAGGCAAGACTTGTTCAGCCTCCAGGTCAGCTTAGTCAGTATCCATTCAGTGCCTTCCCCACCCTTAATGAATAAAGAGGAAACAAGAGAAAGGTAGAGAAACAACCTCTATTGATTTATTATTGATAGTATTTGGAGATGTTCAATCTATGTAAAGGACCCTGCTTATATTTTCTTTCGAAGGGGGTCTGCAAAGTAGGTCCCCCAAAGTATTAGAATTGAATGCATCCAGGCTGGGCGCTGTGGCTCACGCCTGTAATCCCAGTACTTTGGGAGGCCGAGGTGGATGGATCATGAGGTCAGGAGTTCGAGACCAGCCTGGCCAAGATAGTGAAACTCTGTCTACTGACAAAAAAAAAAAAAAAAAAAAATTAATTAGCCAGGTATAGTGGCAGGTGCCTGTAATCCCAGCTACTCAGGAGGCTAAGGCAGGAGAATTGCTTGAACCCGGGAGGCGGAGGTTACAGTGAGCCGAGATTGCCCCACTGCACTCTAGCCTGGGTGACAGAGCAAGACTCCATCTCAAAAAAACAAAACAAAACAAAACAAAAAAGAATTGAATGCATCCAATGCCATAGGCGTTTTACTTCCTTACAGGTAGAGTTACACTTGCAAATAAAATCATTGAGGTGAAATCACAGAACATTAGAACTGAACAGAATCTTGATGATAGATCTGCTGCCTTGTTTCATAGTTAAGGACGTTTAGGGGAAGAAAGTTAACTAACTAGTTACTGGCAGAGCAAGTACTAGAAGCCAAATCCCCAGTCTGGGGATTTTCCCAACAGGGAAGATACCTAAACCCTTACAATTGTATCTCATCCTCATAGTCTGCAGTTACATTTGGTTCATTAGGCTTTAAAACACCATGCAAATAGAGCTCCTATTACAGGATATCTTGATAACTGATACAAACAAATGGTAAAGGATCAACTGGCCCATCACTTCCACCAAAAGATTGAGGCAGTACATTTTCACCACGTATAAGTGTAAAATAAATTGTCATCACCTGGGGCCCTTACAGGGCTGGATTACTGTAAAAATCAAGCCAGCTCACTGAAAGTTTATCCAGATGACATCCAACTTCACCACAGTCCCCACCAACTTGTGATGTAAGCCGGAGAGGAAGCTTCGAAATTTTCCCCTGGTCGAGTTTTGAGAGAACTGTGTAAACAACGCCCCTTACTGGTCAACATAAGAAAACACAAAAGCCACTGCTGACAAGAGCAGGGCTCTAGCAAAGGTCACAGCAATGTCTCTAAGTTGTCTTCTAGTCTATGGGAACCGTGGCCAGGTCAAAGGAGAAAGCCTGGGGAAAAACAGCAGGGGGAAGAAAAAAAACTACATTTTTTTCAGAGATGTTTATATGTACCGAATTAAAGTTAGACCCCCAAAGTAAGCAGATACATTTTTGGTATCCCATTGAGTTTGAACAGGCAGTTACAAGACCCACAGGCATATGTTAGGCTTATACACATAAACAAGATTTTTATTGTTAACATCAATGAACACAGATGGAAAAATATTCACGTTGCAAGGACATATTTGCTTACAAGATCACAAAATGGCTGTTGATTTGTATTCATAAATGATTTGGTGAATCAGTATGTGTTTTTGAGTGAATATATGAGATTTCCAAAGCTTCGTTTCCATTTGTACTCCTGGAATAACTTCATCAGAAAGAGAAGGCAGAAGCTTGGAAACATGTATATGTTTTATAGATACTGTGATTTACCGAAAATGAAAATAACATCCTATTACATATATTTTAAGTAATACACAAAGCAAATACAATAAACACTGATTTGGCTCAATGACTTGTGTAATGGAAGGATATTTTTAAGTTTTAAAAAAAATCCCCAGTAAAGTGGTCAAAGATACTTGATGATGTTGCCATTGAAGAAGCATAGTATTTTCTAAGCAACTCCAAGGCTCTGTTATTTCTTGCTTGTAGGGTCTTCTCAGTTCTCAGTTCATTCTTGACGGCACTGAGCTCTCCGCGGATCTTTGCCATTTCTAATTCATAATACGATTTCATTTCTTCTTTTAGGAGCACATTTCCAAACTTAATTTGATGTTTTAAGTTCCTAACAGCTTCTTTTAAATCTCTGTTCTCTAGGTTCAATTTGTGGATGACTTCTTTGGCTTGCTGGAGTTGTTTACTTAAGTTTTTTACATTTGTTGCTTTTTCAGACAGGTCATTTCTTAAAGCTTGAACTTCATAGTCGCTTTTTGAAGCATCCGTCTCTGTTTCTTGAAAATTTAGAGGTTTTGTGAATATTTCTTTTCTGTAGTACAAAAGTTCTTTTTCAGCGTTTTCAAATTCCTCTTCTATTTTTCTGCATTTCATATTAAGTTCTTCCAGTTCTTCATTCAAAATATTCAGGCAAAGTTTTGGAGACATTCTTTCCATAAGTTTCTTTCTGATGTCTTGTCTTAGTAGAGCTGGTAAGTTATCTGTACTGCAGGTAGAGCTATCTTCCGTGCTGTTAAAGCTTTCTTCGGTTGTAACATCCACATTAGATGATTCATAGGATGTAGAATTTGTGTCTGTCTCGTTCTGTGAAATGTTTATCTTGTTCTCTCTTAAATTTGATTCTTGTTCTATTTCATTTAGTTGGAAAATATATTTTTTCCTCCTAAATTTACTTTCTTCTTGAAACTTTCTACTGGACAAATTATAAATTTCTTCCATTCTCTTGCTGCTATCTGTAGTCGTTTGTTCAGAAGAAGATTCAGGCTGAGAAGTCTCTTCTAGAACATCCTGTGCACTAAAAAAAGGAGTAAACATATACTTCTTCCAGTGTTTTCTTCTAGCATCCATTTCTCCAGGCCCCTCTTCCAATATCTGAAAAACACAATTTAAAACCAAGGCAGGCACATTATTTACACTAGTAGCTAGCATAGTAGAAAGAAATAAGAATGCTGGCTCATGGGTGAAGAATCTAAATATTTGAGTGCTGGCTCTCTCTCTAACTCACTGAATGACTTGGGCCTCAGTTCCCTCATTTATAAATGGAAAGGGCTGAACGAGCTAAGTTCTACAGATGCTTCCAGCTTTAAAAGTCTCTGATCCTATGAAATAGAACTGGTAAACTGACACATTTAGCTACTTACTGTACACACAGAAAGTGATTCTATAAGAAAACAACTGTACACATAAAAACAGACTGCTTTAAAATAAAAAAGTGATTTGAAATTAATAGGTTAATGTTGGTAATACCTGTGCTTTCAATGTGTCTGATGCCTTTCTAGTTCTTGTGGATTGGACTATTGTTTATTCATTCTTTAAAGTGTCTAAAACATCAGGGCTTAGTGAGATGTGAGCTGCTTTTGGTAAAGTATACCATGCGGACTTCCTTATGACTAACTCTGCCAAATGCCCTTCTGTCTTGACCTATAAATTCCTGCTATTCCAGTCTTGGGCTTTGCTTTTAGTCAAGACTGCCAAGTGTACAGAATTCTATCTGTTTTGACAGCAATTTCTTGAGGAGAACCTAATGTCAACAATTGAAAATATTAATGCCACCAAATGTGTTTTTCTCAAGATATTGACTCTGAGTATAGTTTTTAGGTGAAAATTCAGCATACTAAATCACGAACAACTTTCCAAGTTTATAAAAATATGAGGATGATTATTTTGTTTCAAAAAGAGTCTTCCCTACCCAAAGGGAATCCTTAATGTACAGCTTTCCCACAGCACTGAAATATTTGATAAGTGACTACTTCTGAGGGAAGGGAGAAAGAAGAACCAAAGCAGCATGTGGAGGGCCACTGGCACCTGAAGCCACCAACCGGTAGCTGAAGTTAGCCCTAAAGGGTGAGGAGAAGACGGAGAGGGTCACTTTATTCATTTTATATATTAATTTATCAAGACATATTTGTAGTATTACCATGGAGAAAAATCAAAGTATGCCTGCATCTCTTTTATCTATGCACTGAAATGTAATTTTCTGCTGGTAATGAGAAATGGCAAATGTTGTATTTATAACTTAATTAATATTTTCTTTGATTATTATAACAATTTTGGAGAATACAGAAAAGCACATAAAACAGAAGGAATCTCCTTCATAATCTCATGGCCCTGAGATAACTACTTTTTGGTGTATGATATTTTCTTTTCTTTTCACAAACAGTAGTTTATTTTAAATAACACAGGTTTTCCTTACTATAAGCAATGAAGGAATAAACTTGATACCTATAGGCACTGAACATATCTCTCCCCTTTGCCACACAAAAGATGGAAGGGACTCACCATCCCCAAGGGTACATCCCTACTGGCAACTACTTGGCTTTGAGGAAAGGAGAAGGTACACATATTCTTAAGATGAACTATTTGGAGAGTTCAGTGAAGGTACTAAAATCATTGGTCCAAAAGCCAGAAGCCAAGCTTTCTTGAGGTCAATCAGACCATAGTGATAAACTCAGACCTGAAATTTACAGTACGTATTTGCCATTGGAGTATCATCTTCTTTCTTTTGAAACAGTCCTTTCTGACTTTTATTATGCTACGAGTCACCATCCAGAAGCATCATTGATCAATCTCTTCTTAAAGGGAAACATCATTTCTTGGTTTCCCTCCTCTCTAGAAATATGAATGCAAATCAGTAGGAATTATTACAGCAATCATAGAGGAAAGGAACAGAGAGAGGAGAAAAGAGGGTGATATTAATTGCCAGTCACATTTTTTAGCAGTCAAATTTTTACCCAACAATTCTATAGATGATAAAAATGCTTCTAATCAGGTAGCAATGGCAGAGAGATTACTATTTCTCTTAATTCTGGATGAAGGGCATTGGTGGGATTGATTAGGAAGGAGGTGAGCACAGGGGCAAGTAAAATGTGGCCACTTTATATCTGGAGATAGCAAGAATGACACATCTGAGATAGAGGTCTGGGTATGGATAAAGGTTAAAATAAAAAACTCTTTTCATTAATAATTTTGCTCCTTGAAAAAGTAACTTCTGCATCCAACCATCCCATAAATCTCTGGCAAAACACATACACACATGCACACACTTTTTAATTTTCACTGCCTTTCTTCCCTGAGCCTCTGTATAATTTCCTGGTGTCTGAAAGGAAATGCCTTTCAGTGAAGCCTATATAGTTACTGAAATGGGAAGAGTCCATTTATGACTAAGGCCCAGAGAAGTTAAGTGACTTGACCAAGGCCACACAGCCCATAGTAGTAAAACTGAGGACCCTGTCTCCCAGGTCAGTGCTTGTTCTAAAATTCTTCTTTACTCATCTGCTAGGTTTCATTCCCCACATTGAAAGAAAACAACCCACTATTTTCAGAGCTTAGGTATCTTTTAAAAGGCCACAAAAGAAGAGAGGAAAAGTGAAGGGGGGAGGGTAAGGAGAACTGCATGTCACATTTCAAAGAACAGAAAGAAATGTTTGAAAAGCCTTTTGGAATTTCCCTCCCATGGCTTACACAGGGCAGGGTCAAGGGGTCTCTGAGCTGCTTCTTTTTTTCTCTCTCTCTCTTTCATTGGCAAGATATCCTTTAAGGGCTTGTTCCCAAATCTAGTCACAGAATGTGGCAAAGCCCAGACTCGGGGTAAAAGCTGCCAGTCTCATTTTCTCTTCACAAATTGCACTGTCTGTTTTTTTATGCAGAACGAGTATGGCATTAGAATTCTCTGGCGAGAACAGGGAATATGCTTTATGGCAATGACACTCCTTTACCCTGGGCTGGCAGCCATTTTGTTCTCAATAAACTTGACTAGGTAATTTGTTCCAGCATAAAGCAAACCAAACCATAAGCCATTATTGAAAGTGTAGGCATGCCTGTTAGTGGGTCAGTTGTGGACATTAGTGTAAGTGCCTACTCAACACTACAATGGATACTGAAGGTCAGAAGAGTAGGGGAAGGAGGCCTCGAGGGGATGAAAAACTGGTTTCTTTAGAAGCAAATAATCCAGAACACAGACAGGAAAACAATAAAAAGTCATAGGACAAAAACAACATCAGTAGTCCTCTAAGATAGCAATCCCCCAGAAGCCCGCAGGACTGCACTGTTAAGGCGTATGTGTCTACAATATGACTACATCTATTCATTTGTGTCTGACATGAATTAATAATGGACTCCTGATGGTTCTAGTTAGTGTCTCACTGAAAACATTATCATTTATCCTCGGGTGACTTTTTTTTTTGCAGTGGCAAAGTAATAGAACATTTTTGCAGAGTAAGAGATCTCTTGTCTCATGAAAGTGGTTTGTATTCACCTAAAGAATTTGAGAACCACTGATAAAATAAATTGAAGATGAATTTATATATAACATGATGTAACATAAATGTCGAGAGCTAAGCAAAGAACAGTCATTTACAATGGACCTGTAGGTGCCCTGTTCCATAAAAATCTTAGAGGAATGCACATTTATTCTCAAATAGCTCCAGAAAATAATACACTACTGTTTACTGTGAAAGGAGAAATCTACAAACCATCTCAGTTTCATTTTTGAGCTGGGGCCCTAGAGAATATAATCATATTAAAGTGAATGTGAAATTTAATTATTTGTTTTCTAAAATATTCATATTTTAAATCACAGGCTTTAGGGAAATTCGATGACATAAATCAAAATTTTTTTTTCTGTTGTCTTATCCCATTTACATGGGCATAGTGGCTCACATCTGTAATCCCAGTGCTCTGGGAGGCAGAGGCGGAAGGATAACTTGATGCCTGGAGTTCAAAACCAGACTGGGCAACATAGTGAGACTCGTGTCTACAAAAATTAAAAACAAAATTAGATAGGTGTGATGGTATATGCCTGTAGTCCTAACTGCTCAGGTGGGAGGATTGAGCGAGCTCAGGGGGTTGAGGCTGAAGTGAGCTATGACCATGCCACTGCACTCCAGCCTGGGAAACAGAGCGACACTCT